TATTATTATTATTATTATTATTATTATTATTATTATTATTATTATTATTATTATTATTATTATTATTATTATTATTGTAATTAAATTCAGCTTGAATATTTTTCAAAATTTCAATCACTTGATTAATTAAAGGTCTTCTCATAGGATCAGCATCCCAACATTGTTTATACAATTGCACATAATTGATCGGGGCACCAGGTACAACCAATTGTTCTCGTTGACCCATTGTAATCATTTTCAAAACCTTCATAATATTGTTTGAATTATTATTTGAAGTTGAAGAAATAAGTTTTGATTCAAATGGTGGTCTACCACTTGAAATTTCACACATTAAAACACCTAAACTATAAATGTCTGATCTTTTATCACGTTTATATGAATTATCATGTAGATACAATGGTTCTAAAAATGTTATCATTTCTGATATCGAAACACTATTCCATATATCAGAATACCCTACATCTGAAATCATTGTTCTACCATCATGAATTAATATGTTATTAGGATGCTAAAATTCAAAATAAAAATAAACGGATTTTTAATAAATCATTATTCATTATGTATAAGTATCATTATAATAACTTATATAAACTTTACCAAATTTTTATGAGAAAGATTTTCCTGGTGTATTGCATAAAGTCCAGTTGCTATCTCATTAACTATTCTAATCTTATCATTCCATGTTAACTGCTGATGATTACGTTGCAGATATTGACGTAATGAACCGCCATTAGCGTATTGTATTACCATGTAATAATTATTGGTGGAAATATCTGATGAGGAGGTTATGTGAACAAATAATATTAGTAAGAATTTGTAATATTTTTATGACGATGGAGAGAGATATTAATATCATCACCACCTTGACTTAAACCAAAAAATCTAATTATATTTGCGTGATAATTAATCTTATTAAGTAAAGTTAACTATTTTGTTTCGTGTACAAGTGAAAAATGTGAATTAAATAAATTTTAAATAATCGAATTTATTATTATTATTATTATTATTATTATTATTATCATTACCTCGTTTACAAATCTTTCTATTGATTTATGATTGATGTTTTCATAATTTATATTAAAAGATTTTAGAGCTAAATGTTGTTGATTTTTTTTCCAAATTGCCCAATATAATTTATTTTGAGCATTTTGACGTTGGGGTATTGGAGTAATTTGTTCGAATGACTGGTATTCAAAAAACTGGATATTTTCATTTTTTAAAGTTGTTTCTAACCATAATTTCGTTGCCATTATTTTGTGAATCTAATAGTGAATCAATCTATTAAAATAATGAATAAAATAAATTTTTTAAAAAAAGATTTTTTTTTTATTTATTTTTATTATCGATAAACATTCTTTATTAGGAAATACACAAATTTTAGGGGACAGAAGGCACCTTCTATTTTTTTTTTTTTTTTTTGAAGATTCATGATCTCTTTTTTTTTTTCCTAATAAAAGACTCGAGATAAATTTGAGAGGGTTGAGAAGGAAGCAAGTATCATTACAATTAATTGAATGAGATCACTAAAACTTATTAAAAAAGAATCATTCTAACTAAAATTACTTCTACTTATCTCGCAGCGTAATGAAACATCAAAGTATTACTCACAATCGGTTTGACAAAACAGTTAAATAAATAATTTAATTCGTCAAAAAGATTAATCGTTTATATATAAGAGGTAACTCCATAATAATAATAACAGAAGTCTAAAAATAGTAAAATAGGTTTTAATGCAGTGTCATGTGACACATATTATATCATTGTGTGACCTATTTATCACGTGGCACATAATAATAAAATTCCTTTTTTTTCCATACTATTTATTATACTAAGCAATCATATTAATATCAATGATATATTATCTTTTCTCATCTTAGATGTTGTAACATATCTGACCAAAGCAATCACATTGAATGAAAAGACTCGGACCCAAAACCATTTATTAGCACTACCTACCTTCTCCGAGCTATATTGTTTCATTGAAGAACAACCGAGGAAAAGCATCCAAAATCGCTTCTAAAAGTAAGCATTTTTGTTAATAATACTATTGTAATCTATCCGAGAATGAGCGATGTTTTTATAACGTTACTAATGCAAATCAACAGAACTAGGGTTGTGTGGGTCTTTAAAAGATCAGTCATTTTGAACCATGGTTTATTGGACTAGTGAATCTTTCTTAATATGGAGATTTCGAATTTATATAAATATAAATAACAATTTATAATAAATTTTGCACCAACATTGTGATAAATGAAACGGATTTATCAATCGTATGTTGGAGATGTGACATAGCCACTTTAGTTTTATATTTTATATTCGTATTTTTATTTATTTATATTTTATATTATTATTACTTGTATATATTTACTAATAATTATTTAAATTAGTGGAACGAAAGTAATGAAATTCGTTGTTTGTACCATAAAGTGTGCTCAAAAACTTTCTAGATACAAGAAATAAGCAGTAAGCGGGATAATTGTAGTTGACGAACATTGTACATAAAACCTTGCAATTAATCGACGAGTGTGGCTAAAAAGTCAACTCAAACTCGGCCATAAAACTTAAAATAATCGAGATTGACCAAAAGGCCACCTTCGTAATATGTAATTCACATCAAAATACTATAGTAATAGCAATGGCAACAGTGGTTGATATTTGGATATTAGCCGATCATCAATTATTCAAAGAATTTTTTTACATCAACCATATTTTTTTTTAGAAAAACCATTCGTTCAAAAAGAATTAGATTGAGCTTTTTTCTTTTAGCTGCCAATATATTACCAGTATTACTTCATTTTATATATTATAAAACTAAGAATAACTTAGCCTTTCCATTGTATAAATAGAATTAGAAGTTTTAAGGTGTTCCATAAATTTTCTATCAAATACGATAGAGCTTGGATCTGGATACCTAGTGTTTCAAAGATCTTATAGCGGATTGGCATAGGGTCAATTGGCCTATCAACTCTTTGAATTAGGAAAAACAAAGCATCTGAAAATATTATTTTATCGATCATTTTGTATACATTTAACCAATTATTTATTGGACAAAGAAGAAATAAATTTTTCATAAAGTGGGATTCTACACCACCTTTTGAAGTAGAAGGTCCTTGAATAATTTCTACTTTACGTCTTTGTAGAATTAAATAATTTAAACTTGTATTTAAGGACTTAAATTACCAAAACTTTTTAATAAATCTTGAATAATTAAAATAATAATAATTTGCCGAGAAGTAAATTATTTTTTAACGCTCTTTGAGTTGGTGGTTTAACTACTGATGTAATCTATGGGGTTTATGGGATTGCTATACCATGGCTAGCAAGATGTATACGTATGGTTCTTTTGTTTCCAAACCGCATTGATTTGTTGTAATCATCTCGGTATTTGAAGGTGGGCTGAAACCCAATCTCCTGACGTAAGTATTAAATTTAGGGAAGCATCTGGCTTGTTGCCATAATTTTTTTTCGAAATTCTGACGAAATACTTGCAAACTCCCCATAGATTTTATAAATATAATGTTTTATTCATTAATTTCCTTGCCATTCAAAGACAAACGGCCAAATCCCAACTAAGCTTGTCCCCCATAATCAAATATCAATGTTGCAACATACCCGTAACTTTACGTATTATACATAGTGTTGCAACATAATCACGATGCAGATAGACCAATTTCTATTCATATTGTCCCATTTTTAAAAACATTATTATTATTATAAACATTTAATATTTATTGAAATGCAATTATTATTAGAACAAAACAAACACAAAAAAATTGAATTCATTTATCTACTCATCGTCTAATCGCTGTAAATAAGCTTTCAACCATATCGCCATTTTCGTATATATCGCTTTTCTTTAAGGTGGTTGATTGAAAAACATGAAAATGTAAAAGATATGGTCAGACATCTTTAAAAAATGACAAACATGGCTTACACGTAACTTCGTAATGTCCATTACCAAGATGGTTACCACACGTAAAATATCACTATATTTAGACCAAGTTTATTTTTGTTATCAGTCATCTTTAATTATTATATTCGTGGGAGAAAAGAAATGATATAATTAGAAAAATAAGGATCATGATCTACTTTTTATTTGTATAGCAAATATTACAACATTATGGTTAGTTGCAACACCGTAATACTGTAATTTTACATTACGGGTGCCAATTCTAATTATAATCCCAACACTGATATAACGGAAGGAGGCTTTACACATGAAGCGGACAGTTTTATGGGATCACTTGAAAATTTTGCAGGATTTTTTGGCCGACAAATGTATATAAAATCATGTGACGGTTTTATATCAAATTGAGAAAGTCTTGGGCGGCCAAATGACCAAAAAAATGTTTGACCACGGCCAAATGCCAACATTGCATTAAACCAATTTTCATTTTTCGTTTCTTTCCACACCTTGTAATTCTATAAGATTTATTACTGACTAGCTAATTATAACAATGAGGACGATTATAGTGATATGTTAACACTGATAACAAATTGAAAAATAGTTCCATCAATCACATCCTTTTAAAGAATGACCATATACAAAAATATTATTTATAATTGATAATAAACATTCCAAGGCACAGAAGCTGCACTTGTATGCAAATAGGAAATTCATCCTTTCTATCATCCCACCAAACAAACGGATCCACTTGTCTGTGAGCAGTTGACAAAGAAAGGTATTTGCCGTATCCATTTTTGCATTTCTTCATATTCGCTGGAATTATTTCTCAAAGGAAGTATTATGCTTTTCGAGTGAGAAGGACTGTTGCTGTTTTTCTTTAATGGATTTTTTAAAATTCCTAATATTCTTAAACGTGTATTATTACCAATAAATTTCAAAATGTTTGAATCGTGGAACTGATCAGATTAATAATAATGGTTTATAGAGTGTTGTATAATGTTGAAATTGTACTTTTTTGTATAATCAATCAATGTTCGCAGGATTTGAATATTAATTTTTTCCCCATTATCCTCCTTAAAAAAATTTTGGACATCTCTATGCAATTGCCTTCCATTGGCGACAATGAAGATGGTTCTTCATTTAAGAATTAATTGGTGAGTAGAAGTGGGAGCGGTTCGGGATGTTTTCCGAGAAGCTGTTCGCTTGGAACTAGAACTAGCTCGCTTATGTTATCAATAAGAAATGTTACGGTTCAGTTTATCAACTAAAAATTCTAGATGATTTGTTTTCTGCTAGAGAGTTTTTATAATTTTAACAAATCTTATTATATATGTGGAACAATTCTATTATATCAATTGTTATATAAATTAAAGACGGTGCGACAAATTTGCTACCACTCGACGTTATGGTAATGGTATTAAATCGACCTAAAATCTCGACAAGATCATTAATTAATATTATTATCACTCAACAAAAATGTTCTTGACATTTTTTTTTGGTTTCTCCGTCTATATCTAATTCCATATGACTTGTCAAAGAATAATGGTTTTTTAAAGTGTAAGAATAACTGTGCCTATGTCTTGTATGTAATATTCCAACGTGTTACTACACCACATACTGGTTTTAATGGTCTTCTGTGAGTTTCTCTCTAATGTTTCCAATCGCTTTGGAGAAGGAAAAAAGAAATAAGTATTTTTGACTTTAAAAACCAGAGCTTTAATATCATCATTACAATTTAAACCCTTTTTATACAGAGTTGAAATGTGTGAGCTGAACATGGAACTGTACCAACATCTAAATAATCCTTAATGCATAAACCATATTACTACCATTACCAGTGACGTTGCTTATTGGTTTAAAAAAATGAAAATAAAAAAAATGGTAATTTTCTATTCAATTCCACTCTCTTGGCCCATTTTCTAATAATTCTTTTATAATTAAACCTGCGCGAAGAGAATATGGCACGTCAACTAAATCCAAAAGCAATTTATTTGGTTCAAAATGTTCTGATAACCATGCACATGTTATTTCCATATAGCCTTTTTTTTATTATGAAGCATATAGACAGACAGTTACTAAATAAATTATTTTGAAGTTCATCAATTGAATGATTAAACATGACTAATAGAGATTCTTTATGCATGAAATTTTAAAATCTGAATTGAGGGAATGAATAAATTCTGAGTATTTTTACTTGAAAGATTTTTTTGCAAGTTGTTCTGATCATTTGTAAGTGGTGGAAATCGCATTATGAATCAAACCTTCTCTCAAATTAATTGTACATCTAATAAGATTAAAACATATAAAGATACCTTCACTGTGTGCTTTCAATTGGGTTGGATAGTGCTTGGGTGTAGACCATTTAGTCATGTGATATGGAAAAAAAATAATTACAGGGTTCACCATTATTTAACCTAACAACACATTTCCAACCATCTGGTCAATTTCGCCAATAAACCTTTTTGTTTTCTCGTAAAAAAGTCTTTAAATATTTGTATCATTTGGAATGCCATCAATACCGATAGTAATTGATGATAACGACAATTTAAAGAATAAATTTATAATTTATGAAAATTTTCAATCCTCATATTTTAATATGTAAACTTTTGAATTTCAAAATCGTGAAATATACCTTGTTCGTATAATTTAACTAAGAACAATAATGAAACTAATTATATTGATTGTTTTGAAATATCTTTTTTTAAATTACAATTATAACAATGACTATTGCTCTTTTATTATCATTACAACAACTAATGTTTTTTCTTTTTTCTCTTGTAATTATAACCAATGATTTTATTTGTAATTTATTACATTTCATAAAAACAAACAAAACAAAACATGTTCAAATTGTATTTAGCATATGCGCTGATTTTGTTTGAACCCCAAAATTCAGTGCAGTACGATCATAACGTTATGAATACTTTATACTAGAAAAACCCCATTGATTTTGAGGTGGGGCCATTGGTTTGACAGGCTGTTGAATAGTAAAATAGTTTTTTTAGAGTTAATTATCATTCTACTGACCAGCTTACACATTAGAAATACTCGTGTTTAACGTCGAGACACAATAAGATATAAGGTTTGAAAAAAGGATCCGAAAAACCAAATCGGCTGATATGAGTATCCGAGTTTAAACACATATGTGGTTGGGTCGACGTTGATACTTCAAAAAACTTTTGCATGGACGTTTGAAGTTAACTGCGCATAAAAACAAAATGAAACCGCGTTTGAGTTATCTTTAGTGTCTGGGGTTTGAAACATATTGTATGTAGGATACTCTTGTATAGAATATGAACAATTTTATGTGCAGGGCTTGATTTCAAAATTTAAAAAAGCTATAAAGAACAAATAATGATAATTATATATTTATAGTACATCCAAAATTCCGTGAATAGAAGTACATATCCGAATACACGCAGATCATTTTACTGATTTGTAAAGGGCGCTTTTTACATTGTGCAACCACATCAAGTAATTATTCTTTTCGTTTACCATTTTTGGTAATAAAAAATTAGAAATTTGGCTCTGTTCTCTATTTATGGATAATTACATTAAGAATGACTAAAAACGTATTAAAATTTTTTGAATTTGTGTTTTCTAATAAACATAGTAATTGATCAATATCGAAGCTAACAGATTTGTTTAACAAATTAGTTGAAACAATAAATTAGTGACAAATTAGGAAATTCATTAACCTTTGTTGTCCTAATATTTACCAATAAAATGAAAGGGGGAGGAGTATAAAAATAAGCAAATGACTGTAGTATTATTGAAAAAAATTTTAACCGGATTCTCAATTTTTTTATTATATTGTTTTTACTTGTTATAATTAATAACAATATTAATGACAATATTTCTCTCGTTAAATTAATAATATTGTCATTATCACTCGATTATATCACTTCTGTCAATTTTCCATTATTCTCTCAACCAAGAATTATTTACTGCAATAATGAGTAAATTTGAAGTTTCAATTATAACATCACCAACAACAACGTCGGCATCATCATTTTCCACTTCATCATTTACAACAGCAACAACCACGATCGCACCTAGTAACAATGAAGATGAAGATCTTCTTTACAATTATTTAGAAAATTTCCAATTCATAGAGTTCTCGTCGATTGAAAAACTTCATCCGTATACAGGAAATAAAGATGTTAACGGAATTTATACTAAAAAAAATAATAATAATAACAATAATGACAATGATCATAAAACTTTACGGGGATATTGGAGATTTGCAAAATTAAAAGTAATTTTAAAAAAAATCGAGTCAATAAAAGACGAAAAATATTTCGAAAAGGTAATTAAATTCTTTATTTACAAATATTAATTTGAATTTAACAAATGAATTGTAATCATTGTTTTACATATATTTGTTATTTATAGTTAAAATTATTACACAAATTAAGTTTACATTCAAATCTTATAGCAATTTACGGGTACACTGTTACGACAGGTAATTAGATAGTAAACAAAATTCATTTAACGTATATTAATTATACTTGTTGGTTTTTTTAAAATTTTTAAATGAAAATGCAACAACTTTTCCACGCATACATACATAATTTTAGATAAATCAAATCACTATATTGTAATGCAATATGCAAATCAATATAATTTACAAAGATTTTTGGACGAAAATTTCGATAAACTTGGAAAGAAAGAAAAGATTGACATGGCATACGATCTAGCAAACGGATTGAGTTTTATTCATAGTAATGATATTGCGCATAATGCTTTGGTATTTATATTTTTTAATTTTACACGAGATTTCCCTATCATTTCCACTTGCTAATTTCTTCATATCTATTTTTTATTATTAATTGATTATAGCATGCTAATAATATAGTGGTGCATAATAAAAGGTTATTAATAACGGATTTGTTTCTTTCCAAATCAATAATACCCGATATTAACGATGAAAACCCCACTAACAAAAACGACGATAATAAACTTATGGCATATAATGATCCAACATCGTCGTCAATATCGTCACCAACAAAAAAAGACATTTATAGTTTAGGTATATTAATGTATCAAATATCAAGCAATAAAATACCACTATCAACATATTTATTATATAACTGTTACAATAATAAAAATAACAATAATAACAACGACCCAAATAATCACGGTTTTGTCGATGAAAAATTTTCAAGAATGTTTGAAATAGAACATGCAGAATCAATAGCTAGTGTACCGGTAGAATATATAGATTTATATGAACAATGTTGGGACAATGATCCAAGTGTTAGGCCTGAAATTGAAACTATTTTGGAGAAATTATCAAAACTGCAAACAATTGCTGCCCAAGTTAATTATACTAACAAAGGCATTAGTGGTGGTGGTGGTGTTGTTAGCAGTACTACTAGTAGTGGTAATAGGAGAGATGTTACTAGTAGTAACAATAATCACACTATAGTCGAGATTAGCGCAGGTAAATTATTAATAAACTATTTATTTTGTGGATATTTTACCTTCTTTAATCCTTTGCTAATTAGCTTTAATTTTTTGCTTGATTATTGTTTGATTATTGTTTGTTTTTAGAGGTAAATATGAATTATTTTTTAAAAACCAATTTTTTGTCATTCATAAAAAATTCAATCCTTTACTTATTTATTTATTGTTGTTATTTATTATTGTTGTTGTTGTTAGGAACGAAAGAGACAACTAAATCGTGAATTATTAAAAAGAAGAATAAAATTTGGAATCTTTATATTTTGGATAGGTTTGATTGTAGTGTTGGGAATAGGATTAGTTTGTTATTTCCTAGTAAAAAATATAATTGGATGAATGAATCGTAAATTTTAGTTATTTGGTGCGATGTGTATATATTATATAATAATAATATTTTAATTAATTACCAATCATAGTAGTACCAATATTAAATAAGATTTATTTGTGAAATCATATAAAGAAAATTAACCTTAGACATTGTTATTAAAATAAAGAAGCTTTGTTGTTGTTGTTTTTGTTTTTGTTGTTGTTGTTGAAAAGCCATTTAATTTTTATTGTTACTTTCTTTGTCGTAATTTAATTAATTAATTAAACCAAATACAGAAATTAAACATCAACACCATGCCATCAATTCTATGGATGCAATCATTTTGTATCATCAACATAGACAAGCAACATAGATCAACTCGACACAATCGACAATTTATTTGTTTTTATCATTATTATTATTATTATTATTATTATCAAGTCTTGCTCACCCACAATATTAGATAGAATCCCACCATAAAATAATATTTACATCATCACATTTCAAATTTACTATAAACCACCAATAAAATCCTCGATGTTTTTTTTCGTTATGCGTTTTGTTTGAGCTGGGAAAGAAAGGTTTCTTTTTTAATTAATTTAAAAAAATAAAAAATTAAATTGCTATTTCCATTTTGGGAAAATTCGAATCAAAAATCCTTAAATTAATTAATTATGTAAATTTTTTACCTTTCTCTCTACATAAGAATTATAACAATAATTGTATTTTCTTTGTTGCTTCAATATTTATTTGATTTACGTACGATGAAGATTATTATTATTATTATTATTTTTTGTATATGAAAATAAAGAAAAATTTCCATGAAAATTCTTAATTAATTAAATAATAAAATATTTTTAGAATAAGAAATTAATAAACAAAAAAAATATAAAATATAAAAACCAGTTTAATTCTTGATTTTCTAAATTAATTAATTTGTTATTTAATTTTATCTTTTCATTTTTAAATTTATATTTCTAAAAAAAAAAAAAAAAAAACTTTAATTTTTTTTCAACAATTCCAAAATATCTTCTTCAATTCAAAAATGAAATTACCAATTCTAAACGACGATATAATTATACAGATTATTTTAAAATTGATAGAACCGTCAGGATATTTATTTGCCACTTCTAAAAGTAGTATACAAGATTTATATTCATGCATTTTTGTTAATCGTAATTGGTGTAGGCTTGCAATGCCATTTCTATGGACTCGACCTTTCCACCTTTACGATGACGAGAAAAATGAAAAAGTCATTAAAATATTTTTACGATTCTTGAGCGATAAAGAAAAACAAGAATTATTAAATCAAGGAATTGACATTGATATCTTGTTACAAGACGACGTTTATAATTATAATTACAATTATAATTATAATTACAATTACAATTACAATTATAATTATAATAATAATAGTAATAAGAGGAATGATAATAGTAATAATAATAATAATAATAATAATAATAATAATGGCCACAATAGTAATTGCTATAATAGTAATGGCGGAAATCACTCGCCCGACTTTTGCACATCTTCCAACTCAAGCTTAAACCCGCATTCACTCTCACTCTACTCTTTCTATCCATCCTCTCCATTCATTCCATCTTCCTTCTCACTTCTTTTCCCGTATCCAAAATTCATTCGCTCATTAAACTACGAATCTTTCATAAAATCAGTAATGAATTTGTGTTCAGAATTATCAGAAAAAATTTCCACGTCACCGGATCGCGACGATTTAACTCCAGATGCTGAAATGATCTTGACTAAAGCAATGATGAAATTGTTTGTTAGGAGTAATGCAAGAATCGAGAATCTTTCGTTGTGCTCATCTGTCAATTACGAAAGTGATTTATACAATTTGGTGAATTACAACGAGCCTTACTATTTGATGAAAGATAAAGAAGTGAAAATTTTATTTGAAGGTGTCAAAAGTGTGGAACTACTTCTTGCAATCAGAAAAAATAGTTTAATTAAAATTTTGACCGACGTCTGCAAAAAAGTGGCAAGTAATTATTACTATAATATTCACAAGTATGATTTTTGAAAAAAAAAAACCCCCTCAAAAATTTTAATTTTCTTCCGGCCTTTTTTGTTATTTTTCTCCAGGAACATCTACATATAGATACGTTATGGTCTCGACACCCGGAAGATACACACGTAGATTTATTTGGAGCCGAAATAACAACATTCATAAAATCACAAAAATCTTTACTAACATTTCGCTTGACAAAATGTAAAGGTTACACGCGAATATTCTTCCCCGCGTTATCGTCACATAAATCATCATTACGTCAATTAACATTTAATCAAGTGGATTTCAAAGGATGCGATACATTGGAATTTTTGAATTCTTGCAAATCGTTGGAATTGCTTGATTTATATCAGTGTTTAAATATCGAAGAAGAAATGATTAAACCGTTGATGGCGCATTTACAAGATCAAAATTTATCCTTGAATAATAAAAACAAAATGAACGCAAAGAAAAAGAAAATATTTGCTGATAATTTTCAAGCTAGATATATTAATTTGTCCAGAAATTGCAAAGAATTTGATAAATGGTGCGAAGAAATTAACAACATTCATAATAATAATTACTTTAATAATGTTGATAATAATAATAATCATCTGACACATGATGATCATATAAATAATTATGTCGATAATAATAACGATACCATTATTAATACAATCGATAGAGAAAACATTGGAGTCTTTAATAATATTATTGTTAATAATAATAATGATAAACTAATCAGTAATATTAACAATAACGGATGAATTTCATCAGCAATAAAATTTTCTTTGCTTTTTTTTCCTTTACATAAAATTTTACTTTTATTTATCAATCATTTGTACAAACATTTATTTATTTTATTATTTTTAATAAACATTTGTAAATATTATATATATACCTCCCAGATTTTGTAAAAATTAAATTATTTATATGTTACACGTGAAAGAAAAATTTCTTTTTTATTAGGCAAACAGGGTCTAATACTGTTGTTATATGTGAAATTGGGAAATTTGAAATTAACCAATTAAATTAAGTATGGGAGTGAGCGTTTAGCTATATTTATACAACACTATTGCTATAATTAATATGTAAACTTGGCCAGAAGGTCCTAGAGCGATTTTTGCCATAAATAATTTATAAAAAATAAAAAATTTATACCAACCACAATAACCAACCAATCAAATAGTCACGTTCTTGAGAATTCGACTAAAACACATATCATAAACAAATAATAATTATAATTGGAAAAGTCCTTATTACTATTACTATAATAATAATAATAACAGTTTTTACGAACGGAAAACAGTGCATTACAAAAATGTATTAATGACAAAAAGAAAACTTCCAGGAGAATGAAGGACAGCCTTAATATTGCTGGAGGCGAGTTTCTGAACGAATCATGATTCAAGAACAGTAGACTTGAATCGCTTTAGAATTATTATTATATTTTTCATTGTGGTAAGCTCAAACATCAATATTTTAAAAATTCTGGATTCTCGATGTGTTAATAAAAATCGCAGAACTTTATTAAACTTTATAAATATCATTTTTATTAATAAAACTCTCTATGTAATAATAATAATAATAAAATAATAATAATAATAATAATCATAATAATAATAATAATAAGTTTGTTTTGATATTTTAAGGCAACTTTTGATTATAGAAAGTCTTCACTATGAATTAATTTCGGCATTTCAGATTAATTAATATTAACGTTAAGGAAATCTGTATTATTAATATATGAGTTGAGCTCATTGTTATACAACATATGAACATTGTTCTCCTATTATATACATTATATATACATTTATTGATTAATAATAGAGATTATCTTTTTAATCTTTTTTATCTTGGGAAAAAAAAAAGATCTTATAAAATTATGGAATAATTTTTATTGGTAATTATTTAAAATTTTCCAAAAAAAAAATTTTGAAAAATGAGCAAAGAAAACGGAAAAGTTACAGAAGTAATACCAAAATTAACACGTTCTTCTTCTTTTACTCACACGCACCCAAAAGCACTTAAACCTTTTGACTCTGGAGAAATTAAAATTTTATTGTTAGAAAACATTAGTAAAACTGCAGTAGGAATTCTGACCAAAGAAGGATATCAGGTACGTGAAACTCGGTCGGATATCTTGTTATAAAATTACCAACTATTTAACATTATAAACCATTTATATTCTCAAAAAAAAGGTTGAATCACATTCAAAAGCTCTTTCAGAAGATGCTTTAATAGAAAAAATACGTGATGTTCATGCGATTGGAATTCGGTCTAAAACTAAACTTACACGTAAAGTGCTTCAAGAAGCTAAAAAACTTTTAGTAATTGGATGCTTTTGTATCGGAACAAATCAAGTAGATCTAGAGTTTGCAGCAAGGCAAGGTATTGCAGTATTTAATTCGCCATTCAGTAATAGTAGGAGTGTTGCTGAATTGGTGATTGCAGAGATAGTTTGTTTATCAAGACAACTGGGAGATCGTAACATTGAGATGCACCAAAATAATTGGAATAAAGTATCTTCTAATTGTTATGAGATACGTGGGAAAACACTTGGTAACTAACTTTTTCATAAATTATTGCCAAGCGATAATAAAATAAAGTATGTTGTATTAATTAAAGTTATTACGATTCAGGAATCGTCGGTTGTGGTCATATTGGTTCTCAGTTATCTGTTCTTGCCGAAGCAATGGGAATGAAAGTATATTTTCATGATGTCATTCAGATCATGCCATTGGGTACAGCAAAACAAGTTAATACATTATACGAGCTTTTGGAATATTCCGATTTTGTTAGTTTACATGTTCCTGAAACAGAAGAAACAAAAAGCATGTTTGGTGAAGAAGAATTTCAAAGAATGAAGAAAGGAAGTTATTTAATAAATGCATCTCGTGGCACTGTTGTAAACATTCCAAGTTTAATTAAAGCTTTGAAGAATGGTCATCTTTCTGGTGCAGCGATTGATGTCTATCCACGTGAACCTTCTTCAAATGGTCCAAACTTTAATAATGAATTAAGTAGTTGGACTAAAGATTTGCTTGATTGTAAAAATTTGATCTTGACTCCACATATTGGTAATTAATATTTATACTTGTATTTATATATATATATATATATATATATATATTTTTAAAAATATCTTTTTCATATTTACTACTTTATAACTAATTAGGTGGTTCTACTGAGGAAGCACAACATATGATTGGGGTTGAAGTAGCAAATGCGCTTTATAAGTATATTAATTATGGTATTTCTATAGGGGCTGTTAATATCCCAGAGATTGATCTTCGTGCTATTGATATCACAGAGAAAAATTCAATCCGTGTACTTTTTGTTCATCATAATGTTCCTGGTGTTCTTAAGGTAAAAAAACCAATAATTTTTAAATATTAAATTTAATAAAAAGATAACATATTAATTAATATCTTACAATTTAGGAAATAAATGATATTCTTTCTGATCACAACGTTGAAAAACAATATTCAGACTCTAGAGGTGAAATAGCCTATTTAATGGCAGATATCTCTCAAGTTGATGAAAGTGATATTAGGAAAATATATGAGAGTATTAGTTCAACTAAAGCAAACATTTTAACTAGAATTGTATATTAAGAGACCTTTCTTTAAAAAACAATTTAATGGAAATGCCATAGGTAGATAATGTTAATAATTTTAATACATTAATGCATTTAAAAATAATAAATTTAAAAAATAATCTTAATTAATTAATAATTAATTAATAATACATCTATTGCAAACTTTTTGAAAAGAATGATAAAAGATATTTTATACCCTAGGTGTCCAAAGCCCCATACTATTATTAGAAAAAAAACCCCATAGGATAACTTTCTTGCTAATTATTAAATAATACTTCATATGACGATACCTCCCAATCAATTGATAACCTTGGTCAGACAATTTGAATCTATTTTTTTTATTAAAAAAATTTTTCGATTTTAATTATTATTAATGCATTCATGATTATTGTTATTTCTGTTCATACATGCTACCAACCAATATTTTCATTATTAGATAAATAAATAAATAACTACAATCAATCAAAACTTGCTCGTTTCAACGAATTATAGTTAAATTCGCGTTACAACGAATTTTAAAATGCAATTTTCTTAAGTGTCCCAATAGATTCATTGAAACGAGGTTTGATGGCCGTTTATAAATAAATTACCCTCATTATTATTTCAATTGATGAAAATGATGAAAATGATGAAAATGATGAAAATGATCCAGGAATCAAGAATAAAAAATGAGGATGGTATAGAAATATGAGGAAAATACTAATATTAGCAATATATAATAATATTATTATTAATAATGATATATAATAATAATATTATTAATAATGATAGTGAAAATCTAGAATAGATTTGCATCAGAGTGACCAAAGAATATATGTAATGCCTCTCAATGACTCTGGGTTCAAGTGTTTTCCTCCCATGCAGTTGCTCTGATGGTTTTTAATTATAAAAAATCATACTAATACATGTATTTTTCTTTTGGCTGAATTAAAACGTTATTTTTTTTTGTTGTTATTTAATCCTTTGTTCCCACTATTGTATCATGCATATTACAACATTCATGACGATTATTGAATGTATTATTCATAATAAATAATTGAATTGTCCAAGTAATAATAATACTAAGGAAAAAAGCTACATCCAGATGAGAAAGTTGGCAGGGTTGGAAAATAATCCGTTGAGTCTCTTGGTTCCCTTCATTTTGTGTGTATGCATCTTTATTGTATGCAATTTCAAGTCAGAGATTCTTAAAAAACTTTTCCAAAAAATAAATTGATATTGATCATATGCAGGTTGGCATCAGACAGCATCCTGGCCATTACCAGGATATATTGTGACTTTGTGATTCTGATTCTAATGACTTCGGTTGGAGACAGTTAATTATTATTTTGAGTTGGTGGTTGAGATGATGGAGTTGGAGTTGCTCGAGTGAAAGTTGTAGCTGTTTGTGATGTTGTCATTGATCCTATCTACATTTAATATTATGCATGGATTATTGTCAACATATGGAGTGGTGGATTTGGATCTACAGGTGCAGGATAAGAGGTCCAACGTCAACTCTGATCATAGGTGTCAGATTTAATAAAAAATTTCTTTTCACAAACAAGCAATTGTCTCTTCATTACTATAGATTTATTTTCCACACGCGAACAAGTTGGAATGTTAATAAACTCCAACTCTCACCTGAAATTAATTACATCATTGTATCATCAGGGGATGAAGTCAGATTAGCCTTAAAATAAATTTTTTTTTCGTGCTCCTAAAGAAACTATTAGTCCAGTTCAAGCTCTAATTATTGAGAAAAACTAAATTTTTTTATGATGTACTTTACGAAATTCGACTGCGCTTCAACATAAACTAGTCTAATTTAGAAATTATCTTCAGTTAATTTTCAGATTTGGTTAGAGTTTGCCGATTTCGCCGAAACTTTAAAAAATAATGTTTTAAAGTTTAAAAAGATGTCTGTGGGTGGTTTTTTTTAAAAAAAAGTCAAACTTTTATATTGTTGCAATCATTAATCAAATTATTTTATTTTTAAAGGATAATAAATATGCTGATAAGTTTACATTGGGAGTAGTGATGTTAACGGCTAATAATCTGCATGAATAGTTTCTAAATTTGGTAATAGATTTCTGCATTACTTTCTTGTTATAGAAATAACATTACCAATTTAGGTAGTAAACGGCTTAGCCGGCTAAGGATTTTTAAACGGCTAACATCACTAATTAGGAGATGAATTTAAAACTATAACACTGACTTGGGAATTGTTCTTGCTGTGTAGATTCAACCAAGTCATTTAAAACACATAAATTACTGTTATTTATAACAACTAAATTACAACCAACAAAATATTTTCATTAATATAATTTTGAAGTGGCAAATAAATATCCTGACGGTTCTATCAATTTTAAAATAATCTGTATAATTATATCGTCGTTTA